TTATTGTTTACTCCGTTATTGTTTACTCCTTTATTGTTAACTCTGTTATTGTTAACTCGGTTATTGTAGATTCAATTACCATCAACGGCATTAGTCAACTCATTGTCAACTCTGTTATTGGTCTTTACTGGGTTATTCAACAGGTTTCCTTTCACATCTAAGCATCTTGCGGTATTTTAGAGTCCTCATTGTTCAGGTCACTGTAAATGACACATTTGCTGTAGGATTGTTCCAGGTCCAGTTGGATGACTGTAAAATGCCTGAAATGTTCCCTCAGTTCTGGAAGGAGTGCTGTGTGCAGTGTTTCCTCTCAGCCTGTGAATGTGAGCTGTTATTTTGCGGATTGCATCTTATCGTTGGATCAGTGTGTTTAAACATCATAATTCACTGTTTTTGATGGCCTCAGAACATCCACTTTCCTTCTCTGAAGAGGAACTGAAGCAGGATGTTAGTTTTGATGATCACAGCATGATTGTTAAGTGTGCGCTGTGTTATTGTTCGGGTCTGTTTAACGCTGATCTGCAGACAGACGTGATCAGGCGTGTGTGAGTCGCGGTTTTGATCTTCAGGATGTAAACACAGTGATTGTCTGTGGTGTGTTTTCATGTATGCTCATGTTTTGACTGATGATCGTTCATTAATGCTTCTTCGTTTTCCTCTGGGTGTGTCTGTGCTCTGGTCATGTGACACTCTCAGCCAATCACAGCTCTGCATGAATCTGCTGTTGATGTGGCAAATAAGTGGTTTCCTAAAGTCTTGCTGCCAGCCGGACCACCAGCACACACACACACACACACACACACACACACACACAGACGCACACACACACAGACAGTCTATATATATCATGCTTCTGGATGATGAACACACAGATGCTGCTTCTGCCGCTCACCACGCTACATTTCCAACAGCACGATGCTATCATGGTACTTTACTAGCTATTTTTATGAGTGTTTGTGTGTTTCCATGCGACACAAAGAGCTCTGTGTGTTTCAGCAGGTGCTTGTGGGTATTTTTAACTGCTGCTTTAATTCATTCACTCTTAAACTGCACATTAGGACACAATCTGTGCATGATTTCAGCGCTGGGAAATAAAGTGTGTGGTAAAATCTAATGAGTTCTGTAGCATGACGTGTTTTTGTAGGACAAAACCCAGAAACAATTACTTTGATCACTTTGGGCTGCATCATGCTGAACTCTCTTTGTTGAAAAGCCTGAGATGAGATGAAAATAGTAAAGCAGAGCAGTAAAGCGCTACTGTCGGGTTTAAAGCTTTTACTATGACACGTCTGAACAAGTCTGTTCTTAATGGGACTACAAACTCCCCACACAGCTCTTTATTCAATACATTATACACTCACTAGTCAACAGGTAAACCATCTGATTGTTAGTTAACCCACTAGTAAAAAAGATAACCTCATCGAATCAACAATCAACAGGTAAACTCGTTTAGTCACTAGTCAACAACTAACTCATCTAATCCATAGTTAACTCATTAGTTATTCAGAAAACTCCTCTATTGAACTAGTTGTCTCACTTGTCAACACACTAACCCATCTAATTATTAGTAACTCACTGAGCTCATCTAATCAATAGTTAACTCACTAGTCAACAAGTAAACTCATCTAATCATTAGTTAACTAATTAAACTACTCCATTCACTAGTCAACTCATTAGTCAACAAGTAAACCCATCTAATCATTAGTTAACTAATTACTAACTCATTAAACTTATTTAATTACTAGTCAACACACTAGTCAACACACAACTAGCTGTTAATTAAATGAGTAGTAACTGACTACACTTCTCCAAACAAACCCATCCAATCATTAGTTAACTTATTACTAACTCATTAAACTTCTTTAATCTCTAGTCAACACATAACTTTATCCAGTTGTTAGTAAACTTAATAGTAACTGACTAACCTCCTCTGAAAAACCCATTTAATCATTAGTTAGCTCACTAAACTCCAATTACTAGTCAACTCACTAGTCAACAAGTAAACCCATCCAATCATCAGTTAACTCATTAAACCACTATATTCACTAGTCAACTCATTAGTCAACAAGTAAACCCAACTAATCATTAATTAACTTATTAGAAACTCATTAAACTTCTTTAATTACAAGTCAACTCACTAGTCAACACATAACTTTATCTAGTTGTTAGTTAACTAACTAATAGCTCACTAAACTCCTCCAAGTCAAGGTCAAGGTCAAGGTAAAATTTATTGTCTCCCGTAGGAGAAATTTGTTTTAGAAAAAAAGGTTCTGCTGTACATCGACACCAACAAGACAACATGTAACATACATACACATTAAAATCTAATCCTAAAATACCTCCTAATATAAATATGATTCCATAAAATCAGTAATTTTAATAAAAGTAAAACCCATCTAATCATTAGTCAACTCACTAGTAACTCACTTTGCTCATTTTGTCACTAGTTAAATCATTAGTCAACAAATAAACCAATCTAATCATTAGTTAACTAATTACTTACTCATTAAACTTCTTTAATTACTAGTCAACACACTAGTCAACACATAACTAGCTGTTAATTAAATTAGTAACTGACTACACTTCTCCAAACAAACCCATCTAATCATTAGTTAACTTATTACTAACTCACTAAACTCATCTAATAACAAGTCAGCTCATTAGACAACTAGTAAACCCATCTATTCATTAGTTAACTCACTAAACTAATCTCTCACTAGTCCACAAGTAAACCCATCCAATCATTAGTTAACTTATTACTAACTCATTAAACTTCTTTAATCTCTAGTCAACACATAACTTTATCTAGTTGTTAGTAACTGACTAAACTCCTCTGAAGAAACCCATCTAATCATTAGTTAGCTCACTAAACTGTTATATACACTATTCAACTCACTAGCCAACAAGAAAACCCAGCTAATTATTAGTTAACTTACTAGTAACTAATTA